AAATAGCATAGTGCTCTAAATATCTTTTATATCGTAGGATTTTCCGGATGGGTAAAATAGATTCTTTATGAGAATTTATGAGAACGAAAGGAAAATGTAATTCAACGTGTATATATATAGAGAGAATGTTGCAAGTTACGAAATAAAAAAAAATGTAAAGATTAGCGTTATGTTTTGCGACCTTCGGTGTCACTTCAGCGGTTGAGAGCGCAATGAATGAAAATGTCGGGTTTATGTAAATATTCGAGCAGCTTAAAACGGAGGAGTGTTTCGCAACAATCAAGCTTCGCAGACGCGAACAAATAATAAAACAATTATCTAATTAATTATTTAATTCAAGGCGGATTTCACTTCATCCGGATTTTGATTTGATCCTTTATTTCAGAGATATCGAATATCGCGAAATTTGGGGGAATCGCAATATACATGATCAGCTCGCTCGATATTTCCGTCAATTCAACGCCGAGTTTCGCAAGAAATAACACGTCCATCTTGCGTTTTCTTTTTCCTCTGAAAGGACACTTCACATATCTTTCTCGTGTCACTTAATCACACTGGAAAAATCGCAGTCATCTCTATCGTATTTCGGAGTAATATTTTTGCAGAGACTGAGGCAAACGATTGACGGAACCATTAAATTAAAATTTTGCAAAAGTTATTCATCAAAAGTAACTCCATAAATCGCTCGCGATTTATTTTCGTTGACATTCCGTCGCGAGTGCTGCCACACATGATTTATTATACTTCGGATATTATCGTCCCTCGCTATGATACCGGCGTGCGCGCTGATAAAGCGGGTAAAACTAAATTGAAAATCGAAGCGCACGCGCGTGCGTCCGCGACGCGCGAGAGAAACGGGTGCGCCGCTCCAACGGCTTCATATTTGCGGCCCACACTCGAGCGAGACATGCTAATTCGTTGACCCAGAGCTTATTTCTCGCCCGTAAAAACACCCACCCCGGCTTAAATTAGTTCCCCTACCTCTTCACGCCGACACGATTTATTTGCGGGCCCGAAACGTTTAATTCGGTCTCTCTCGCGGCGCACTCGCGGCTAATTCTACGCCGTACCGTAATAGTCTCGTATTTATAGTGTATTACGGTAATATCGCGCTTGTTCGTGCGCGGGCCACCTGCCGATTATATTGTTCGATCTATGCGCATGTGTGCGTGTGTGTCACGGTTGCGATTTTAGAAATACATTGCAATAACCATAATAACAGCGGCGTCTTCTTTTGACGGCTGAGTAACGCGCGTCGAAAATTGATGATTGCGAGCACGATTCGACGATTTGCCGCCTGGATGCGATATTAACGCGGGGGTTGTGCAAGATTCGCAAGAGTCACACGGATTGTGCAGTGGACAGATATGTGTGTGTGTGTGTGTGTGTGTGTGTGTGTATTTCTGCGACGTTATTAAAAATTACGCACGGGTCCCCCGTTACGTTAAAAATAACACACTTCGTTGTGCCGACGATGACGGTGAATGCATTGAAAATGTAATGTACGGTATATACTGAAAATACAGAAATAACTACAGTACACGGAACTAGATACAGAACGGGACTTTTTGGCTGCAGTAATCAAATATTTGGTGGACACATATCAACTAAATTTTGGCACTTGTTGCCTTTTTTTCGGAATGGGCAATTAATCGGTGATGTCAGTTTTGATCAGGGACACCGAATTAACGAGAAAACGCGGGATATTAAGAAGCGTGATTAAAATCGAGCAGTTTGTTGACTTTTTACATAAAAACTGAACGCTATAGACGCGCGTGGAATAAGGTTTGTTTCTCTGTGAAATAACATACTGTTCTCTGTGAAATAACTTACATCTCTCTCGCCCAGGTAAATTTTTAAGTACTTTTTTCTGAATATAAGTAGAAGAAAAAATGCTCAATCATATAAATAATTACTCCAATACTCCTTAGCAAATTTTTACCAGGTTATGTATCTGAACAAGTAATATTTACTTGGTCCAGATAAAATACTTTCCAAGTATATTGTCCGGGTAAACATTTGCTAAGGAGTATTACAGTAATTACTTGCTTAAATCCGATACTTTTTTTCTGTGTACACGCACTCACGACCGCGATCATTTCAACGGTATTTTACGATTTAGCGGATAGTACGATAAATTACGGCGCTTGGGAATGCACTCGCGTGTAAACGAACCACGCGCCAAAGACCATCGCTTGAAAATATCGAGAGGAAAAAAAGGAAATATTTTGTCTCGCAGCCGATTGTGCTTTGTCGAAAAATGAGATTTCTGGTTTCGCGAAAATTCTACGTTTTAACGGTAAATACACGTACTGAATTTAGCGTTTCAAACGCAGTAACATCGTATCGTACGATTCGTACGCCGTCACGAGAGAAATATCGGGAATTGACGATCGCTGTGATAGATAAATTGTAATTGCAGAAATAGGCATCAGGCGAAATATTTACTGAGCTAATAATTTTCCGAGCAAAATGAGTAATCGCAAATTCCACGTGTGACGATGCAATTTTGATGCGTGGGCCATCGCAAGTCCGATGTTCATTTTGCACTGCTTGAAATAATTGAGGGATCAATTTGAATTAATAATTTCACTGACCTCTCTATATCCTGAATTCTTAGTACAATGAGTTAAAGTATATATAGTAAGTAAGAGTATCGTTTGAAAAAGTGATTCCCTGATTGTTTTAATCGATGCATTTCGGTGAACGACACAAACATGTACGTGCTAAACCTTACATTGAGAGACAAATTTTTGATATTTGCGATTGTAGTTGCGTAGCAAAATGAAATTATAATTGAAAGTCATTTTTGTGTACTATTACACTGAGAAAGAAACTTGAAAATTTATTTGTGAAATATAATTATTTCGTAGAAATAAATGTTTACTTAAATACGGCGAAATAAAATTTTACTCCTAGCAAATAAACTAATTAAATGATGATTCAAAGACTCAAAAGTATATAAATTCTCCTTCTTTATCGATGGAAATAAAAAAGCCGCCTTACCCTCGGGATTCCAGGATGTTGAAGATGCTCTTAGCGGGATAACCACACGAAATAATGTATAATGTGATTACACGAGCCGAAAGATCGAGAATCACGCACGACCTCGAAATGTCGATCCGTCTTCCTTCGCGTCAAGAAATGTTTTGATCGCCGGAACAATACAAATGCACGTGTATGTATATGTTGTCTCCGCGGGGTCACGTGACTTTCAGCCGGCGAGACGTGCTTGGGAACATCGTTAATAACGTTATCTATCCATCAATTGTACTCTCTATTTATCGTGATTTATTTATTTATTTATTTATTGTGACGTCACAATATTTTATGACATTTAATTTCTCCCGCTTCCTCTTGATATTCGTACTGTCAAAATGCATAGACTTCGCGATAACAATCGCTCGTGGCAATCGTTAAAGTAAAAAATCGAGATCGAAATGACAGGTAACAATGAGGTAACATGCATTTTTGCTTTGAAAGTTAAAAAATAAATATACACGCACATACACTTAGAATGTTTATGGTGAACGGAACCTAAAAAATCTTGAATTCTGTAAGACTTCGAAAATTTATCCGCGGTATGTGACGTTACTTTTTCATTTCTTTCGGTCATTCAGTTGCTGTATTTGTTTATTATTATTACTGCGTTAAAATTCGTGAGGAACTCGAGGAATTCTTTCAATTCTCGACAGCACTTTTTTTTTCTCAAATGCTACAAAAATTTTAAAATCCCCCTGCGATGCGTGACGTTAATTACACGTTTTGCTTCTGTTCACCGAGAGAAAAAAAGAGTTCTCCATTTATTCACAATTATTGCGTCGAGAATCATCAGAGTCATGCCATTGGTACCTGCGATTTCGCGCCAGGAGTCACTCTTCGCCGAAGAAGCGAGGCAAATATTCACTTTCCAGGGAATTGCGCGTTTTCAAGAGAACACGCGCTCGCGTCCCGATACGTTTTATCGGAAGCTGCGGCGAATAAAAAGGGGGAGAAAAAAGAATTCAATTGCATTAGCTCTCGTGCCTCCTGGAGGTGCTCAATTATCAATTCAATTGAAAAACACGCTCTCGCGTAACAACGTCGGCTCGCACGACGTCGTTCCCTTTTATTATTCCGCTTGAAAGCCGCAATCTCGCAGTGGTAAACGATTCGACACTTTGTTCCCCGGCCCGAACGGCCGATTCTGCGGCGTACATGCCACCAGCGCTTTGCGAACTTGCGAACTCGTACGTACGCACACCGGCGGTGGATCGATACGCGAAAGTGACACGCGCGCGCCCGACAGAGTTTCTCCATTGAATATTAGGTTTTAAAGCGCGGTCCAGTTCTGTCGTTCTCCGCGCGGAACTGCCGTCGTGTTTATTATCGCGCGCGCGCGCGCGCGTTTCCCACCGCGGCGATGGAAGGGGAAGGGGGGAAGGAAGAGCGCTTTTCCGTGCGAAACGCCCGTTAAATTCAGAACGCGCGCTGGCACGACGCGCGCTGTGAGAATCCGCTCTCGAAAAATCCGAGGCTCGCTCGGTCGCCAGTGGGATATATTCTGTTTCTCTCTGTCGCGTCGTAATAAAATAAAAAGGCGCTCTCTCTCTCTCTCTCTCTCTCGCGTGCGGAGCGCACCGAATCCGTGGACGCTTCTCCGGAAATTCCGGCGAGCGCGCCGGAATGTTCGAGCTCGGCGATGCGTTTGATTTTATTTCCCTTTTCCTTTCTCTTTCTTTTTGTTGATTTTCACACGCAAGATACACGCGAGTCTTGTTTGCGCTCGCAAACTTTCGATCGAGCGTTGAGATTCTTTCTATCCCGCAGCCCGCAGTGGGCGACGAAATTGCGATTTCCCCCTTCGTCCTGCGATAATATGCGAGTGTTATCTTACGTTTTAATTAATTCTAATTAATTTTTATTAGTTTTCATTTTATTTTACGTATGTTCGTAATAATACTGCGATGTAATGATCCGAATCTGACGAGTGAACGTTGCGCATCTTTTGTCTGTTGCAGTGTTCTTAATATTCCATCCAGTGATTTTGAAGACTTGTCTCTTATCCAAGACGTGGTGCAACAATGGGTCGAAAGAAGATACAGATTTCACGTATCACGGACGAACGGAACCGTCAGGTAATTACGAGCGGCAATTCCGCTCGAGTACAGGCCGATGTCTCTCGTTTACGTGTGATTATTTAATGCTAATTACTATTAACACACGGCACAAATATTTTCGACACCGCGGCAACGTTAAAGGCCATCGTAGATTCTTAAGCGTTTCCTAGATTCTTTTTTTCTTTTGTAAGAAAGGTCAGGAGTCCAAGGATTATACCACTATTTTAGATAAATATTTAAATACCCAATGCTTTGATTAATATTCAAGATTTGACATCGAATACGTACCTGTGCGTCTATATTTTGCTTAAACATTTTCGTGGCTTTAAACAAAATAGTATATTCGCATTTTAAGGAGAGAAAAGGCGAGAGAATGCACAGGCGTGGAGAGCGCATTTAGAAAGACAAGTCCATTGTTTAATCGTTGGTATCATCTCATCACACGCAAAGAGAAAAAGGTCTCTTTGGGCTTAGTAGACGCGTTTAGTTGACCCTTTGGTAATATAAACAGCATAATTTAATGTCAAGTATCATTTTGTTAGAATGAAAATGCTATTGTTTCACTAGAGTAAGCCATATTGTCTGATAGAGAGAACAATAATTATTTAGAGGAAATATACATATATAATATTTGACTTTCAATAAAAGAAAAATTTATTTCATCATATATTAAGCATTGTTCCACTGAAATAAAGCAGTTATTTAATATTTTCCGCACATAGTGTTATTTCCTTCAAATAATTTATTGTCCGCCACAACTATTGTAACGTTTGTACGAAAATATGAGCGAAATATGTTATTCGACGTAAAGATATTCATAGCTTGAGAGACCAAACAATCCTGTTTGTTGAATCGAACATTCGTTCGTTTGCTTCACTCCAAGAGACAAATTTGCCTCAATAAAGGCAGTTTTATTAAATCCGAAGAAATCTTTCTCTCTGTGCATACATTTCATCGGAGAAATCGTCGAATAATTAAATCGTCGGGTGATCGATTATTCCGAATGACGTATTCCCACAATGCAATAGCTGTTTTTCTGCGTCAATGCTTCCTTACTGTCTTGAAATCTCGTTCTCCCGAGGCTCACCTTCGCGAGATACATCACCATCACCTCTCTCTCTTTCTCTGCTGTGCGACAGGTGACCTTTAACAAGAGGAAATTCGGCGTGATGAAGAAGGCTTACGAATTGTCGGTGCTGTGCGACTGCGAGATTGCGCTGATTATCTTTAGTTCGAGCAACAAGCTGTACCAGTATGCGAGCACCGACATGGACAAGGTTCTCCTCAAGTACACCGAGTACAACGAACCCCACGAGTCCCTCACCAACAAGAATATCATCGAGGTGAGTCCATTTATCCGCCGCGGATTCTCAGGAGGACGGGGGACGAGGATGCGATATATGCGCCGCCGGTCCTTCTCGTGTCGAAGATCCCGTAGTCGCTTCGTCGTTTGACAATCGCGCAATCGCCGATATATTATCCCTTTTACGAACGTTCTCCTTCGTTCTTGAAAGTATCAATGAAGAAAACACACGTGTGATCGCACACTTGTGATCGCAGATGCGCCAAGGTCGAGACGCACGGCGCTGTCGAGCATATACAGAGTGTATCGAAAGTACGCGTGACTCTCGCGGTGCGACGAAAGTCGAACTCGGAGCGATCGTTATTACACAGTTAAAAAAAATGGTGCGATAAATCTCACGCACTTTTCACACGTCCCGGACGGTCTGTCGAAATTTTTGTGTTGATTTAACGCAAGATGAATGTGCTAAAAAGTAAGAATAATAGTATGTAAAAAATTAACATAAAAAATGCAACATTTTAACATTATTTGTAAATAAACTTTACGTAAAGAGAACATATTTGTGAAATTTCACTAAAATATAATGTTATTTTTACATTTTTTTTCTTCGGTCATACGGATATACTATTCACATATGGTATTAGTAGTATTCTGCGTCTCACAATGTGGCAGATCTGGTGTTAAGATATGTAACAAGTTGATATTGTTTGCGGGAGGCATAATTCTCATTTTATCAAATAACGTCTCTTTTTTTTTTGTTACTCATGCACTTCACAACTCAATGTTACACATATGCAGCATGATTTGACGCAATAATGTCGCTTTTGGCGGTAGACAGAGAATAGAAGACAGCGACATCTCTGTATGATATTTAACATATAAAATATAACATAAAATATATTGATATATATTATAAATATAAAACATATTGATTTAACAGATAACTTTTTTTTTATAAAAGAAAGATAACTTTAAAACTACATAATCTTTATGTTAGACGTATACCTACGTATAAATTGTGTTATTTCAACACAAAAGGATGTCGAGAATATCAATTTAAAGCAAAATCATCAAATAATACAATCAAATTATGTTACATTAACACACGGCTATGTTGAGAATTCGACACGAAGCTTTTAACAGGGACCGATTTTAACACGGGAACAAAATGTTTTTTTTTACTGTGTAGGAGAGCTCTTTATTCAAACGTCGCACGACCCGCGGATGGATCCCATTGATTATGCGCTATATTGCAGATTGAGGGGATCTCGCGAATTAAGTATCGCACGCGACGAGGTGCATGCATAATAAGATCCCTTTTTAGATACACTCGAGCGCTTTCCGTCTTAATGGAGCTTTCATTTCGGAGGTTCGCATAATTAGGCGTGAATTACCGTTTCAAGTCGTCGTTCGGGGAGGGACGCGAGCTCCTCTCAGAGAGAATCATCTGCATAGAAGCGCGTGCAGCGCGGGGAACGTTTACTCACGCGTGCGAATTACGTCACCTCGGGCGCTTCATTCGAGAATAATCGCGAACGATCGGAACGAGTCCCATCGCGTTTGATGATCGTTTCGCTCGCGGATGATTTTGCGTTCGCTCGAATTCCGCTTCCTTGTAGATTTTGTAGGCGACTAACCGACGCGTTGAAGAGGCTGTGAGGCTCATTGTCGTACTTTTAAGTGGAACATCAAGGCAGCCACTCATAAATTTCGTATTTATCAAGCAAAATTACTTTTCTATAATTTAACTTCATTATCTAAATAATAAATGTTAATTTGAAACGAAGTTGAGGTAGACATGTGTATACACATTATTACAAATGCGAATTATAAATATCACAACGCGAATCATATTTTATTTGCCTTATTAATGCTATGTTTATGCATCAGTTAATCTAATAGAGATAATGATAGAAAGAATAGATAATAGGAAGAAGTATATGTGTTTAAATGTGAACGTAAAAAGTATTAAAAATAAAAATTAAGTACGCTAATCTCTCTCAAAGAACACGTGAAAATATCAACTTTAGTTATAATTTTGCGAGTAGTTGGATAATATTTTGAATATATACATGATGCAAATCTCACTGAATTCTTATCAGGCTTATTACGTCTTACAACCTCTTTAAGGGGATGCCGAAATCGATAACGAACTTGATAAGCGTTGTTAACGTAGAGACGATCCATAAAATGTTAACGTAAAGGGAATACACAAAATGTTGTGTCACATAAACACTGATACGATCACGCTACATTTTTGGTGTTTCTCGTGCATACTAGACCTTACGTGAATGTAAATGCCATGTAAATGTGAGTGCGATAAATGCGCGCTATTTTGTTTTTCCGTACCTAACGAAAAATCTAACCAAGCATACGAAAATTTTTCTGCAAACCTTTTCGTATCCTTTTAGACATCTAAATAACTGAAAAGATATAAAAAGGTTCCTTGAAATTTTTCTGATTGGAGCACCGACATATTCGGTACGTACGTACAGACTGCAAGAATTCTGTGTGTCAGGCAAATATTGACGTTAAATGGCAGCTAGAAATATCGATTTTGTAGTTTTTTTTTTAATCGTTTTCGTCACAAGCATTGCTCGATATGCTCCAATTCATTTTCGCACGTGCTTTTCTTGTGTGAAGGCATTTATAAACGATACGACGTGTACTTTACAGAAAAATGTCAGTATTTCATCGGTAAAGTTGTCAGATTTGGCGTCCCCTTAAGATACATCGCGCGTGAGCGTGTGTCTTTCGCGTCGCATTTGTCGGATATACAGTCTCATTTTGATGGGAGCGATTTGATCTCTCCGTTTCTCTCTCTCTCTCTCTCTCTCTCCCTCCCTCCCCCCTCTCCCTCCTTCCCTCTTTCTCTCGCTTGCCGCGGAGACGTAATTGCGGGAGTAAACCGAGTAGAATAAGCGAGCGAGCGCGCGTCTTGGTGTGGTTAAATTAACGTGCATGTGAAGGTTGAGTGCCCTCGGGCGGTGTGGTCACGTGAACCTGTCTGCTGACACTTGCAGGCGCTCAACAAGAAGGAACATAAGGGTGCCATGTCTCCGGAGAGTCCGGAACCTGATGCGATCGAATACAATCTTACCCCGCGCACCGAAGCCAAATACACGAAGATCGACGAAGAATTTCAGATGATGATGCAGAGGCACCAGCACAATGGCAGCAGGGTAAATATATTCTGTTCAGTTAAATGCCAGTCAGGCCGAGTATTGATGTTTGTCTCAAAATTACATTCATAAAAATTATTTTACGTTTCTCATTTTCTTAAAAAATATATTACTTTACTCGTAACATATTACTTATATTAAACGTAATAACTTTTATTTTTATCTTAATATAAGAAATACAAAATATTACGAAATACTTATGAAAGTAACATGTTACTTTCGTAATATATTATTTTCGTAAATATTTCGTAATATTTCGTAATACTATTTTCTCGTATAGAAGAAATTTATTCTCTATATTAAAATAAAAATTGAATTAAAATGATTTTCGCACGTGCTTTTTTATCGCTTTCCGGTTGAATTGTTAAAGGAGATTAATTCCCTTTATGTAACAATTACCGATGCATGAGGCGATCCTCGAAATGTCCCGCTAAAATATCCAAAATCGCCGCTTTTTTCGGGTCCCTCTTATGAAAGATATGAAGATCCGGACGAGTTAACATCTTGAATTTAATTTCGCCCGAGCCTGATTGACGTGCGAGCATATTTTATGTGCTATTTCAAGTATATCGCTGTGCGGTTTGTCGTATATAAGGCGCCGATCAATTTCTCCGAGCGCGGCCCGCGATTATTTCCGCGCTGACTTTTCCACGGAGAAAGAGGAGGGAAAAGATTATGCAAGAATTTCTTTTGAAATCGCACGGAAAATTCTCACGGCAGATGTTCCCGCGCAATCGGCGGATACTTTGTTACTTTTAAGTGCTATATTATACGCTCACGCGTACTAAAGAGCGTACAAAAGCATTACATAAATATTAATAATGATGTAGATAAAGGAGAAATTTCTGAATCGCCCTGTAAAATAATACTTCGTACTTGTGTTCCACTGTTTTATTCGACAGTTGACGATACAATAAATATTAGCCGGCAGGATAGCGCCAACACGCGGTGGAACTGCGCAAAGGAAAAGGTTTCTTTAGATTTAGCATTTCTTATTTCTTGTTTGACTAAAATCTGTTTCATAGAAACAACATATGCTTATACGAAATATTATTAGTTTGAGTAAAAATTTTATTGTTTCATTCAAGAAAATTCTATCATTTAACAGAAAGAACGCTATTGCTCGAAATAATATCTTTTAACCGAATAAAGTATTATTTGGTTGCAATAAATATGTAAAATGAAACAAATAATTTCTTTATAAAAGAAAAGTATCGTTTTGAAGAAATTTTTTTATTTAAGATAAAGAGACGTATTCGTTGAAAAGTCTAACAATCGTAACCCTTATTAATCGAAACATTAGTTTCTTTGGAGCGTGCCAATGATGAGATTTGTTTGGACGCGACAAAATTTATTAAATTCGAAGAAATTTTTTTCTCCATGGTCGTTAGGATTTTCCAGCCACACATACGTGCATTATTGATTTATTGTTCATTGATTGCTCGAGGAACGCGATGAGCGCGACGCGTCAGAACGAGTAATCTGTCGCAGCTTTATGATAATGTCCAGAAACGAGTGTGTACGAGTACGTGGCGGTAAAATACCAGCAGCCTAATTACACCGCGTGTTGGGGCGGCCGATTAGTCGTTAGTGCACAACTGTTTTTCACACAAGTGTTCTGCACCAGCGGAACTAGACAAGCGTCGTTTGCATTCCGCTGCAAAGTCACGCGACGAAGTTCTGAGACGCAAACGGCCGCGTGTCGGCAAGTTTCCAAATCCGTCGCGGATCGCGCCCAGCCGCAACCTGCGTCCGTTCGCTACGGTTATTATTAATCGGCGTCGCGTCGATTCTGTGTGATTGCAGACAATGGGACAATCGAATTACACGCTACCAGTATCTGTACCAGTCAACAGTTATGGCGAATCTCTTCTTGGATCTAGTCCGCAGATGGCGCACACCAGCATTTCCCCGCGTCCATCATCGTCTGAAACGGATTCAGGTGAGCCTCGAGGGTAAAAGGAAAATCAGAAGGACGAATCCTCGGATCCTTGGATTCTTGGGGGAAGGGGTGCACGAGAAAAAATTATTTTGCCTTGTAGCAAAATCATCGTTGCTACACTGAGAAGATATAATTATTTTCGGGGATAATATCTTTTTTTCATTTTAACCACAGTAATAATCGAGAAAACTATTTTTCTAGTAAGTGTTACTATAGTGTCAGTGATAATAACCTTACGTGCATGTTGCTACTATTATTTTTTGTGGTTAAAATAAAAAAAAGGACATTGTTGTGCCCGAAAATATATTTTTCTCCCAATGTATTGCATATTCGTTGCGACAGCAATACAATTTAGTTAGCATAATCAAATTCGTGAAAAAATAAATTAGGCTCTTGGTATGGTTCTTGAGTAAGTGAAAAATGGAGCCAATAAGAGCCGACGCTAGTTGTTGGTTGCGAAGAAAGAAAAAGAAAAATTACTTAACTTGGAATTACTTTTCTTTCTTCGCAATCAACAACTAACATTGGCTCTTATTGACTTTCATTTTTCATTTACTCAAGGATTGCCAAATTAGTGAATTATTCATAATTAGATCGGAAATAGTTTCGTCGTCAAGATAGGAAATATTCTGCTAAGTGAATTTGGCTTTAGGACACGTTAATTTGTTGTTGGAACAAAATAGTGTTTTCCTACGTTTACTAATTTATTCTTACAATAATTCAAATATTTTTTTTTTCCAAACAACATGATTTAGTGAAACGACACATTTTTATTCAAACAAAATAATATCAAGTTACTTTGTTTATATTAAACAAACTCGAATCAAACACGTGTACTAAATCTAAAGAAACCTTTTTCTCGGAGTACTAACTGGCTGATTTTGCTGTGACGGCATAAAATTTGTCGAGCCGGCAAGTGATTTTCTTCCCTGAGGGAGAACATTTGTTCGACACGTCGATTCCTCATTGCAGTGTATCCTCCGGGCGGAATGCTGGAGATGAGCAACGGCTATCCTCCGTCAGCGTCACCGTTGGGTGGTTCGCCTAGTCCAGGGCCGTCGCCTGCGCTCGGGGTCGGCGGGGGTAGTGCGAACAAAGGCAGCAATCCATCTAGGCATTCGCCGCAACCTCCACCGCCACCGCCGCCGCCTCATTCTCACAGGGCTAATCTCCGAGTGGTCATACCGACGCCGCTCGCTCAGCCTCTCTCCGAAGACACTAATTACGATGTAATTATCGTAACTGTCTTTCGATTTGCCGATGTGTCGAATTATAAGCGAATGGCACTCGCCGTGCTGCTCCGCCTTTTAAATCGCGACCGCTCGTCGACATGAAATTTTTTGCGTCTACTACTTCGGAATTAATGTCAAAGTTGGATCTTAAAGTGTGCGATGAAGCGAGGTTGGTACAAAGTTGCGTGTGGTTCGATGACGTACGCAGTTTACCGACGACGTATTTCGTCTCTTCCTCTCTTGTTCTAAAGGCTTGTGTCCACGGTGCTAGTTGTCGGTTCGAGCCGGATGTAAAAGTTACTAGAAATTATTGGAAATTTACTAACATTCCAGTACACAGCTTGGCATTAATCTCTTGACACTTACTAGATAGAGTCACTAGAAATTTTCCATTACACGCACATCATGTCTGGATGTTTGTGTGTCATGAGACTATTGATTATTCAAGGAGACAAAGATACTTGAAATATTATTCAAACACAGAGACATTTTTAAAGTAAAATATAAAATGACGTATGAAGAAAGCAGGAATCGAAGTGACTCTCTTTTTACTTATTTAGATACACCTCACTTTTTCTCATTTTTCTTAAGAAAAAGTATTCATTTTTTTTTGTTCCATCTGAGATTTAAAAAAAGAATTTGATTAGAAGAAATAATATTCAATAACTAGCTTCCTTAAAGATAAAATAAAAGAAAGTAGAAAGTAATAACGAGAGACTCCGACGACAAAATCTTCGTAAAGTGAAGAACTGTGATTTTATTTTTAAGCTGTTTTTATCAGTAAGTTTGCCAGACTCCATGACTTGTCCACATTTGTCCATCCATAATTCTCGTTTGTCCATCAAGCTAAAACAAGTTATTAACAAGCGAACTCAAGAAAACAGAAAATGACCGTCACGGACACATTTTGTTACTTTTTCAAGAATGAAATTCACACTTTTCACTTTTCTTGACAGCTAAATCGCTTTCATGCCTAAGAAAGAAGCAACATGTGCAATATCGTTGTTATTTCATCAATAATTGACAGTCATGATACACGAATATACAGACACGATGTATGTGATTGAAAATTCTTCGTGGCTTTACATCTAATAAATATCAAGAGTTCAACGCCGATCTGTGCAACTTTCGAGCATTCGCCAATATAAAAGCAAAACCCGGGTTGAGTCCTAGCCATCGTGCTGAGAGGAGCTTTAAAGTCTAAAGCTCGTAGCTGTAAAGATTATGCAAGAGTAGTGATATTGCGCGAAATATGCGGTGCTGTAACGCGTTCAGAAAGATAGACTTATGCTTGAAACTTATGCGGGTTCCCGCCGTTTTCTGCACTTTCAGAATGCCCATACACAGTCCGCGCTGAACACACCGGTAGTAGCGTTACAAACACCAACAGTACCAGCTGGATACTCTAGTTTTGGACCAACAGATTACTCCTCGGATCTCGGGAACCTAGCATGGTCTCATCAGAGGTACGTTGATGACTTATCAATGTATTCGGCAGCCACCATGTCCAGCATCAGGTAAATCATATTTCATAATTATTGTTGTGAAAGAAAGCTATATGTCCAGTTGGTATGATATACTTTGTTATTTTATCCGTCTGCGATATTTCTCTCTTCCCCCCCCCCCCCGTTTCTTTCACAGCGAATTGGTTCTCAACGTCAGGCGAGAATACGCGATGAAATTTTACGTGGCTTTCGCGAAAATTGTCACCGAGCCGCGAGGGATCCGTTCGTGTGTGGTCGTGGCGGTCGGAATCGACACCCGTTAATCTCCCATTGATTTCTATTCTCGCGTTGAGAATGCGGAGCTTTCACTCTTATACATTCGTACATATCGCGATCTTTACTTCCCTCCGCGTTTCTATTCGATTTGTCTCGATCTCTCTCTCTCTTTCTCGAAATTCTCTACACTCACCTCATTACTTCGACGGGACGACACTTTATGCACGGATACGTCATGTAGTTGATACAATGATATTATCGACCACTGGAGCTCTATAGTTTTTTTTCGGTTACAATAGTGTTTGGCATGTTCATTACATTGTGAGTGTTTGATACGTTTCGTTTTCACTTGCGGATGCGTTACGTTTGTGTAGCTCGAGCGGCATTGTCGTACAGTTACGACGAGGCATTGTCGAAGCAGGAGTACATTCTCACGAATCACCTCATAAGTTGATTAACTTTCATTTACGCTCCATGCATGATCGCACGCCCGTTATCATTAGAGGACACCGCACTGGGAGCGCTAGATTGGGGGGAAAGGTTAACGACAGTTGCTCGTTAGATAGTGAAAATTTTTGCGTAAATTTTGTGGAAATTTTGTGTCGCTTTAACTTTTGGAAAAAGTATAAAAGTGGGTGTCAAAAAGTATAAAAATGTATGTTAAATTAACACTCATCTTGTTAAGATATTACTTTTTAACGTATTCACCTTGTTAAAGTAATGCAAAGATTTCAATAGACCGTTATCAGGGTCGCCACAGACCCGAGAAAATCGAAAGAAGTCGTGGAAATTTAAAGTATCGGGAAAAACCTGGAAAAGTGAGAAAAAGATATAAAAAACTTTGAACTTTGCACACGATTCTTTTAAATGTTCTCAACCGTGTTCTTCTTTTCAATGATCGTTTATTTCTTGTTGGCCTGAATTTGCATTCATGGTTATATTATGTTACTAAGCTCTTAAGCTTGTGTTGCTTCTAATGATACAAGCTACTTTTCCTGCTTCCCTGCAGTCCCTGCTTCTGAACAACAAAGTTTAAGATTACACACCGCTCGAGGAAAGTTCTCCAAACAGTCGTCTGGAGAAACACGAAAAAGCCAGAGAATTTCCAAATTGATTTTCTGTGGCGATCCTGATTATTTACACAAAATTTTTTACCATGTAGAGATCATTAGATCATTATGCTATTAAAAATAGTCACGTTTCTCTTGTTCTTCTCTCTTTCTCCCTCTTTTGAAGACCTCTCAAGTTTTTCGATCGCAACGAATCTCTCCTGCTTAACGTCACGAAACATTTTTTTCCGATATTGCAGCGGTCTTCCTCATCTAGCTGTATCGAGCAGTACACCACCGCCGTCTACGTCGCCTTTACCTGTAAAAATAAAGAGCGAACCGATAAGTCCACCCAGAGATCCGCACGGTGGTAACAGCGGGTCCAACGGGGGACCCAGCAATGCTAGCAGCCTGCACCACACGAACCTGAACGTCGGTCCTTCATCGAGCACCGGCGCCCCGCCGCCGCATCACGTGTCTCATCCGGGTCCTCAGACACTGAATTTAGTGTCGAGCAGACCGAGCAGCAATCCACCTCCGTCCCACTCGGGAAGCATAACGCCGACAAATCTCCCCTCGCCGGGCAGTGGTGCGGTCGGTGATATCAGAACGAACCATTCTAGCGGTGGCGGTAACGGAGGGAACAGTTCAGACTATGAGAACGGGCCGCTGATGAAGCGCTCGAGAATCACGGAGGGTTGGGCGACTTAATGTCGATCGAATTGTTGCACTCAGTTGTTTCATACCTCGACGTACAACGGCGCATAGTGCTTGTGTGAGTTCCAGTATGTTTAAAAAAAAAAACAGACTCATTTTAACTCTCTCGTCTTTGAGACATACCACCACACCACACATGGTCATCTTGTACTTCGTACTTCGCGTGAAATGAAAAAAAAAAACGTTCAGCAACGTTTGGCCGCGGCCCCATGTCTGTTCTTCGCCGCCGGCCGGTAGCTAGCGGAGTGGGAGAAAATCTGTTTATATTTTGAAGCTGACACAGAATATACATTTATTTGAAGAAGAAAAAAATACGGTGCCATAATGTTGAAACTTTATATATATATATTATATATATATGATATAGATACATATATATATATATTTTCATGTATATAAAATATGAAGTGTTGTTTGTATATATGTCATAAATTCGTAATAACTTTCGCGATATGGCATTGTGTCCTTGATGCTTGGAGGAAAATTCATGCGAAAGGAAACAGTATGTTAGAGAATAACGCAGTACCCAATTGTGAAATTTCTGAAAGTGTACTAATACCGAGTCTAAAGAGCTTGTGAAGAAATTAGCACACATACACACACACACATACGTACATACATGTACACATACATTTTTATACACGCAAGGTGTAACGCCCGCTTCTTAGACGATCCGCAATTCACGGCAGAAGCACCGGCCGGGAAACGCAGTTCTGTCTGTGATGTCATACGCGTTGTACGATTAATAAGGAAAACGTTGAATGTTCTTTTCCACGGATGGACAGAGCTCCGTCGACCGACCTATGTCGCGAATTGCAGGTCACCCGAGAGAGCTGGGCTTCAGATATCGTAAAGACCAGAACTTTACCATCGCAATTCGTTGTTGTTTTGTGTGGTATAGTAGTCAGGTACGCCATAACCCGTTAATATGACCTCACGCTGAAACGTACGTACTTTGCCCGAAAGGATTGCCATCGCGCCATGTGGGAATATATTCCGTTTGAAAAGCAACAGTGATTTTATCTTCAGGCGATCAATCCGTTTGGCAGAAAGGCTAACTGGCTTTCTTTTCTTTTTTTCTTTTATTAATTGCATTCTTCCACTCCCCCCCCCTCTTTCTCTCTCTCTCTCTCTCTCTCTCTCTCTCTCTCTCTCTCTCTCTCTCTCTCTNTACATTCGAATGCAAAATTTATATTGATAAAAATTTCACATTTTAATATTTTTATATTGTCAGACTAACCGATCAACTTTACAACTGTAGTGAGTCTATTAACGGTCTATATTCGACAGACGTGTGGAAATCGGCTGCTGTACTCAAAATAATCATGATATTCTATAGAACAAGATTCGAAATTAATATATTGAGTTACGAAGGTAATATGAGATAGATAGATAGGCATATTATATAGTGTTGATTAATAAAAAAAAAAAGATATACACACGGACGCGCATATAGATATATATACATATATATACACGTTATATACATTTTCCACAAGTATTTTGCACATTTGATAACGAGAAAAATTACGGAGGAAGAAAGCTCGAGAACTCTTTGCAACCCTTGAAGCCTAAAAAAAAAAGAAGAGAAACGCGCAACGGGAGTTTACATACCACCGGTATAATGCCGTATACTAAAGAAAATTGTGATTAAACGAAACTTATCGTTAGGGGAGGATCGAGAGTGATATTAATATTAATAACTTTTAATCGTAAACTTTCGGTGAAACCAAAATTACATCTTAAACGTACTTCTTCACGCGTTGCGATCACGATCTGCCAATCACAAACAAACAGTTGTGCGTAATTCGTAGTCTCTTTTTAACGCAACAGTAAGAACACTTCCAGAAATTGTGACTATATATACATATATATATAGGAGAAAAAGAAAATATACGCGAAATCTAAGAAAATCCTTTGTCGCAGAGGTTCATTCTGTGATATATAAGAGATTATTATAGAAGAGAGAGAAAGAATATGTTCTTTCCGATATATCAGAGACGTGAAGATCGTTTTCGGGCAACAATTTGTGTAAATTGTGTAAATTAAAAGGTGAACAAAAAAAAACATGGTACTTGGCAAAACAGGGTTGCAATTGTACGATGTAGAATTACCTTCTTCCTGTGAAATCAGCGTGGTGAAAATGTGTCAAGATGGTTTCAATGTATGTTTTACAATCTCAGGATGTGTCCTGACGAGAATCACTCTCACAAGCGTTGTATTTGATAAATTATTGTAATTAACGTACTAATGGAGAATACGCAGGTATATGAATGAATAGTGCCTGGCACCATTTGTGGCCCTCCTGTTAGGATGCTTTCCCAAATCGTATATGCAGTACAATTTGTTAATAAAGTCTTGGAAATAATAATTTAATTATATATATAAGCGATATATATTATATATACATATATATATATATATATATATATATACGAGAAACGATATATATGATGTTGTAAGCTTTATAATGTGACTTTTTGACAAGTAACATGTGGGAAGGCAACCTCTATTATAATTGTAATCGGTGAGGTGGAATCCTCGACATTCAGTTTCTTTATTGAACGCATATTAGGGACGTTTCATATGACGACTGTACGACGAGAACAATCGGTATGCGAGATACGAAGGGAGTGATGCGTATAGTCACTAATTTTAATCACGAATTTTTAAGATGATCACAAAGTGCAATCTCTTAGCCAACACACTTTTTTATCAAAGAAAAACATATAAAGAAATTGTTATTTTTCATAACGAAGTAAAATTTAATGTATTAAAGATATATATGTCTCCACTAGTTATTATAAACTTTTCCTATTGAGCAAAATTTATTATATTTAATTGATATTCTATTAATATATCACAAGAGGAAAAACACAAGGGAAATGAGAAAACAATTGTACATACCTGGCTCGCAGTGAATGCTTGCAAACGGTTGATACTTTTGAGGTCTTGTGTTATTACGTTTTAAAACGCATTTGATCGTTAAAGAGCGCGAGGGAAACAGATAAAAGCGATTTCACATTTCGAAGGGGGAAGAGTATTGTATTTTTTTTCCCGTTACGACGCTTTCACGTAAACTTCGGACACACGTAATGAAAGATGATGTACGTTTCAATGTCTCTCTCTCTCTTTCTCTCTCATCGGCATATATATTATATTTATAATATTTTCCTTGGTGCTTATCTCACAGGATATAATTTAAATTTAATCATATACATATATATTATACATGTTACAAGCCCTGTGAACACTTGTTAATTCTTTCTTTGAAAAAATGCCCTGTTGTGATACCGAAACTAAACATGCTCTTTCTGCATAATAGTCCATCATAAGGTCATTCTGAGTGTTCCGACATCTCGACACACTTCTACATAGAGCAGTCACGTAAATGCGATGTGATTGAAAAAGCATGGACAGTATACTTTATATGCAAGGTTTATATGTGCTCTATCCGATCTATTTTACCGTAAACATACAGTATGATAATGCATAGCGGAACCCATAAGGAATAGGCAATTTGTTAAATGTACGTTAAGTACATGTACGTACACTTCAATGTATATTTTTAATATGAAGTACGTGTAAGTTATATCTGTGAGAGAAATAAGTTGATGTAATAATAAAAAAAAAACAGGCAGATGTATTCGTCTTGATTGGCACAACTAATGATGGAAGGGGGCGGGGGGGGTAGGTGGATACATTGTTATCTCAGTGTCGCAGAATATAATCAAGTTTATATCCTGTGATCTGCA